TTTGTGGATTTATCTGTGTCTATATTTTAAATCAACTCACATACTGCTTCAGTAACCCTGTAGATGTTATTACTTAATCAACTGAGTTCATTAGTAACTTTGACACTAAACTGGTTTATATGGATATGGTATAGATTATCCACCGTTTGTCACTCCTACTTAATAAGGTGATCACTCACAGCTTACCTGAATCTTTTTTTTTCTTCTTTTTTTCCTCATAAATGTACACACATTTTTTATTAGTTAGTGAAGGATCTTCATAGCTAAATACAAAACCAAAATACGTTTTTTTCTGAGAAGAAATCTGTCAGTCTATTTAACTAAAGATACTGGATGGTGGATAACCATAAATATGCATTTCAAAATCAGCACTTCGCCTTCAGACAACTATGAGCTCAGAATCAGTCGTGTACTTCTTGGTTAAACATCATTCTTTGACAAACCAATACATTTTAAATAGGTTAGCTTCTAGGCAGTAGACAAATTTGAGGCAGTTAGTGGTTTTACATCCTATCGGTTAAAAAATTGCTGATATTAACTAAATTTTACATATTAAAATCAAGACTTCACACGCTTAAAAAATAATGTTAACGGAAGATTTAGTTACATATTCATGAACTACAATTCACTGTTACTCAGTTTAAGCCGGCTGTCCATTTGGGAAGTGATTTTAGCCTTGAAAATAAATAAAGAATGTAGTTCCCTGTCTTGTGTGCTTATGGATAACCAGGAAATCGTCACGGATATTTTCCAGGTGGCAGTAAAATATGTTGGAATTAGGTTTCTAAGGTGAAGTAGTTTCATACAGTGGGACTACTAGGGCATTTCGTGGATCCCACAAAGTTCGAAGGGGTAAGACATGAAGTTATGCCTTGTTTTTATGCGAGTTTCAGCTTGGTATCGCTGCGTGATGTCTAAAAGATATAACTGCGCTTGTTAATTTTTAAGTATCGCCTCCATATTCTTTCTGAATGACTCAACACTATTACGTAATCTTCAGCGAATACTTAGACTGCCAGTCAGATAAAAGTAATAATCAACCCCGCATGTTCGAGAAAATGCTCACAATAAACCGCAGCAGAGACTGAAAGAACCAGACTATGATAAACCTCTACATTATTCTCCCACAGTAACTGAACACTACGACTTCCTTCAGAAGTGTTTCTATCCTTTTCTTATGTCTTGTGTTGTTATCGATAGTTTCTTTAACATAATATTTGACATTTTGCCCTGTAACTTGTTCTTCATAAACTGATCAATTTGGTTTATGTCAAAATGTCTTTTATATGAAGATTTCTTCAAGTAGCGAACCTCTAAGGATCCTGTAGCGTTAAAAGCATTTCTAGTGTTTTCAGTTTTCAAATGTTCGCGTCCATTCTAGTGTCCTGATGAACAGGGACCAACTGGGGATAAAAATGATAAGTAACAGTCACAAGCAGCATACTATAAACAACAATCTGTTTAACATCCGTCCCACTGACAATTACATCATCAAGCGTAAATGTAACTAACAAGTCGAGCTTACTTTTTTTATTCTGGTGTTAGAAATGAATAGCATGACGAAATATACTACTAAACGATATGAGTAGTTGGAAACCGTTCATGTCAAGTAGTAGTGACTGAAAATGAATTATTTTGGAAGTAATCTTCAGGTAGGTAGAAACTGCTGCAGACAAAATTTTTTCTACCGTAAACAGACGAGTTTTACATTGGCCTTCACAAGCCCTGGATGTGCACATGCTACATAACCCTATTTCTATAATCTAGCATTATCAGCGTCACTTGAACATAGTGTTTGGGATACTACGGGAACCTAAGAATTCCTTGGTGGCATAAACAAACTTGGCAGACTTTCGCAGTAACTTCCCAACTATCATCTACTAATCCGGTGATGTGATACGTAGTCATCTGCACAAAAACAAACTTCTTTAAGTGCACATTTAACTCGCTCATCAATAAAACCAACTTACCTATGTACTGGTGTTAATATTTATGTAGTGTAATTATTCAGTATCCTACTGGCTGTTATGTCGTATTTTCGTGACTCAAATATTAAGGCAGAAATCTATACAAGGTCTACTGCAATCCACTCGAAATACAGGACTGAATGAGAATGTTGGAGACGACACTAGGTGGGGCCCTAGTGGAAAGTCATCGAAACTAGACCACATTCTAACTAGTGACCAACTACTCGTCAAAAAGGTCCAGATCATGACTCCTCCAGGATGTAGTGACCATGCAGCCATAGGTTTCGATCTTGCACTTGCAGTGGGACATTATACGACAATGTCTGTGCTATAGCAAGGTGGACTATGCTGAAATGCGGAGGCTTTTGTCCGACGCAGACTGACCCTTAGCATGGGATGAGCTATCTTTGGATGAACACTGCGAAGGGGTAAAAAGATTATTCATACAGCAATCTTGGATACCGTCCCTTTAGTCACAACACAGCCCAAAAGAAAGTCATCATGGCTGAAGGGAGGCACGCAACGTATTCTGCAAGCAGAGTGGAAGGCTTGGTTTACGTGGCGCGTATTCAAGAGTCAGACCGACCACGACGCATACTTGGAACTCAGGAACCGGTGCAACGCGAGGGTCAGGAGTCACAAGGGGTCATTTCAGGCTAACCTTGCCAAAAAGCTCCTAGCAAACCCCGAAAACTTGTACCAATTTGTGTCGGAGAGAAACCAACCAACCAGGGGTCATGTGCCTTAGTAAGTCCAAACGATCAATACCGTACTAGTCAGCGGATGGCTGAAACATTCAGTTTAGCCTTCACCAAACAGTACGGATCAAAATGGCGTTACTACTATTTCACCGGAGGAAGACCTGGTGGCTATTCCCCAAATAAAACCGGCAATAGTACTAGGGAAGCTACAGCGACTCACATCTGAGAAGTCCCCAGGTTGTGACGACATCAGGCCATCTATTCTGAAACAGTGCACCGAAGCTCTCTGTAGGCCCTTTTGCAACTTGTTCCAACAAAAAATGGATTCGGAGAAACTGCCAAGGGAGTGTAAAAGAGCCATGCTTTCTCTGATCTTCAAGGGTGGGGATAGGCAAAATGCCACTAGTTACAGACAAGTAGCTTGACTCCCTGTGGTATCAAAAGTACTGGAAAGTACTGTTGACGATCACATCAGGGATTACCTCGATAGGTCTAATATACGCCATGAAGCCCAACACGGTTTCAGGAAAGATAGATCCCGTGTAACAAACCTACTAACACCTTGGTATATGAATGTTTCAGTCCATGTGATCTTTCTAGACTTTGAGAAGGCATTTGACACTGTTCACCATGACCTTCTCCTACACAAAATAAGTCAGGTAGGACACTTCTATCATGGTTAAAGGACTACCTAGCTGAAAGGCGATTTTGCAATAAGGTCAATCGAGTCCGATCATCTTGGCACAGCTCATCATCAGGAGTGTCGCAGGGTTCTATCCTAGGACCACTGATGTTTTTGATTTTTATCAATGATCTGCCATGCCGTCTAAGCTGCCCGACTCTTCTATACACTGATGTGAAGATACGGGGGGCGATAGAGTACCCGGAGGACTCAGATAGGCTACAGGAAGATCTAAACCTTCTGGGAGACTGAGCGGTGGCAAGTGGCATGACTTTCAACCTGAAAAAGTGCAAAGTAGTGAAGTTACGCACCTGTAGACTGCAGAATGCAAGTTACACCCTGTGCAATGAAAGCTTGTCCTGCACAACGTCGGAACGCGACTTAGGTCTAATTCTAATGGATAAAATGGACACAAGCGTAAATTACACGGGGGATGTAGCGAGGGCATATGTGGTCATACACTTTACACATAGACAATTAGGTGCACTCACTCCTGAGCTCTTTCTAAGGTTGTACAAAACATACGTCAGACCACACCTTGAGGTGCATAATATTATCGCACCCCCACTGCTTAGAAGAGACGCCAACGTCTTGGAGAGAGTCCAACGACGGGCAACAAAAGGAGTGGTTGGTCTCCGAAATAAACCATATGATGAAAGGCTAAAGAAATTAGGCCTATTCACACTTAGCTACCGGCGTCTTAGAGGGGATTTAATTACTGCCTACAAAATAACAAATGACCAGAATCACCCAAACAAAGATGTTCTGCCATTGAGTAGGTATAGGCTCCCTCGTGAAAATCCCAGAAGGATAGTTCACCAGAGGGCAAGGACCCGGGTGCGCTCCCACTAAATTTCACTGTGGGTTCTCCATCCCTGGAATCCCTTACCGGCAGATGTAGCTATTGCACCGTCTGTGGACGCCTTTAAGCGAAGGCTGGACAACCATGCAGCGACACAAGGACTGCATCCAAATGAACTATCCCCTTAAAATCGCATACACCATTCAAAGGTAGACAATTAAACTTGTCGTTTTACTTCTTCACATTCTCTCCCCTCTTACTCTCCTGACAACTTTAACTACACTTATTATTATTATTACCGATATATACATGTATATTATTCATATTATTCTTCAAATTTAACCATCTGACTGTTGTTTCGTTTTCATATTTCTTATTCTTTTTCTGTCTTTTAGTCTGAATAACTTCACTAATTATATTTATTATTATTTATATCTCTTTTCTTTTGACGACGATACCGGAGGACTAACTGGTGAAAGGATCAACTCCATACACAGTAGTAGTAGTCTTAACACACCTCATACTACAAACCACGTATAATTAATTCCAGCACTTCTCCTTTTGGAGTCAGCCAAAGCTACGACAGTCGAGTGGCGGGACGAGCTACGCAGAAGTTTACGGAAGATCATGAACCTATACCTCACAATCAAGAAGCGAGCACAAAGAAATCAAATTGGTTTATACTACTTTAAATCTGAACTCCTTCCATGGGGTCTGAAATTTCTTTTGCAAATCTCTCATAATAAAGAGAAATATTGTATTTTGAACACTTGAAAAGAGACAATTACCTCAACTATACGTGAAATCTCAATAATAATGCCTGGTTCGTTGTTTCAAACCTGAGATTTGAAAAGTGCTATTTACAAGTCAAAGCGCTACTTGAGGTCAAGTGATATGTTGGCACGCCCTAAACTAAAGCAATCAGTTTGTAAATAGGTCCGTCAGTCATTACAGTCGTTGTCACCTTGTTAGTTATGAAGTTTATACATGGTGATTCCTGCGATTGTGATATTAAAACTGTGTTTGGATTTGACATACCCAACTGTATTAACATGAATGTCACACCAGGAAGCAAGGCGAAGAACCTCGTTCCATTCGCAATCGAGGCATATCGTGATGAATCGACAAAGTCTGTGAGTGCACTGTATAAAAGTTTTTTTGTATCTTACGCAGCTAGCAATAACAAAGGGCTGTCTTTCAGCAGTTCTAGAACTTACGATTCACTGAAAAGACTTTGACGCCGGGCAAATATGACCCGAATCTTGGGATCCTCTGAAATTGTTTTGCAGTTTTTCTACTCAGAATATTTGCATTGTGTGGAGGTCTTTGTTAGCGGGATAGCGAAAGATTAGTTTGCAAATCACTTTCGACTTCATTTGTGTATATCTATTTCTTCATTATGCACGATATTCTTATTCTTGCATTCGAAGTCAAAGGGGATGTTCACTTTTACCGTTAGGCAGGTTTTCACTCTAGATGCAATTCCTCTTGTCTTTTGGTTAGCATAGTACTGAGTAAAGTGACTGTGTTGGCTTATGGGTAATATTTTTTCCTAAGTGTTTTAAAAATTGTCCGATGTAGTGGAATAATTTCTCTTATGGCTTCCTAAAAGGGTTTTTTGTTAGTGTTTTAATTTCAGTGCGTGGGCTTCCTTTTTTTTAATGGAGAGTACACAGAAATTTTTATGCTCCCAAGGAGAGAGTGGTGGCATATACCTCGTCCACACCATCTTCTAGTCAATAGGTTAACACTAAAGTAGTTGAATGTATCGATCAATTGACGTCGGTATTGTACATCAGTTCTATCTTGCATTTCACAGTTATATGTCAAGGATCTGAAAGTGTTATACATGGTCATTGGTAGCTTTTTCTGACAAGATGAAGTAGAATTAGGGGTATTTAAACCACAGTGTAGTGTCCCGTATAATCGTTTGCTGTTGTCCCAAAACATGTAAATTAGTGTAGCTTACGTAGCTAATGTCATCGAAATTCTGAGAATTGATGACTGGAGACTCCTACAGACTTCGCATGAGCGTTTACTAAGGTGCAAACATATTCGTCCTTCTCTATACTAAATTATTGCTCCTGCCACACACCCTTGTTAATTGAATTGTTGCAAAATTTCTGTTTGTTTACTTTCTAAAAGTACATTAACTCGACCAAATGCACTTCTGGGCAAAGTTCTATGTTGATTCGACAGTTATTCACTAAGACGTTATTAATATATGTAAATATAGTGGTGTTATTATGTGTCTCTTTTGACTGACTGGTTTCAGCATAGAACCTTGCACCGATGTGCAGCAGTTCAATTCGCCACACTCCATGTAGCACACGAAGTAAGAGAAGAAAGTGGAAAGAAACGCAAAACAGAGACAGTAAACAGACATATAAGGCAAAAAGAATAGTAATATCAAAGGACAATATAGTCATATTGGGTATTTTAAGTCACAGAGAGTGAATGCATCTGCACAAGACATTAAGAACGATTTTGAGCCATATCACCAATTGTCTCCAGCTGTCATTGGCGTTTACTGTCCCGAGGACCCCAACCAGTCAGGAATTCTACACCTCCCTACGTGACTGGCCTAAACTAACTATTATGAGTTTCATTGACTGATGGAGTCACGTTTTGGTTTGAGCACCAATAGCTGACTCTTTTCCAACCTGACCCTATGTCAGCTGACTAACATTGCACATTGTCGAGGAAGGTGATGGATGGCTAGGCATGCGTAACACATGTCCTAACCATCTCAGTCGATGTAACTTCACAGCCTCGTCTATTGATTTCCTCTCCCAACTTACCTACCACTCGACCGATTCCTCACCTCAATATTGCTCACCCTATTATACCACTTCACACGGGAGATAGGACGCAGGTACCTGTGATCAAAGACATCTAGCCAGCCTTTTCATATCCTCTACTCTCAATGGCCAGGTCTCACAGCTAGGCATAAAGCAGCATGGAGCAGACTGCTGAGCAGTACACAGGTCTTCTGGTCGATAGCCGGATATCACGTCTACCAAGCCAGAGATGGTGTAAACTGGAATATGCGAAACTAGCCGCCATGCTGAGATTTCGTCAGCGATCAACTCGTTGGCGTTGGCTGATGCAACTTCCCAAAAAAGTGAAGTGGTCAACACGCTCCACAAACCACTTCACTGCCTATTTCTAAGCTAGGAGTCGATGCAGCTCAGTCCAGTCTTGTGACATCATCTTACATTTGGGAGGAGCGAATGATAAGCCGAACATTCGTAGATTGCAGCTCACGGTGTTCAGAAGACTGTTGCATTTTGTCAGCGTCTTCACCTAGAAAGACTATATCATCATTATGCATATTTTAAGTCAACGAGATTACTCCCTGACGGTAACAAGCCAATCCCTGAGTCACTGAAGTCAGTAGTTAGGATTAATTCCATTAGTACATCTATGATGAAATTGAATAGAAATAGGGATACTGGGCATCCCTGTCGGACACCACTAGTTGTCACCACTTCAGATGACAACTCGCCATAAGCTCTTACCTGGCTGGCTGCATGAGTTCGAACAGAGTGAGTACTTTGATCAGTGCAATGTATTTCCTCGGCATTCCTTTCACAGCCAAATATCGCCAGAGTAACTCTCGGTCGACAAAACTCGAGGGCCACCTTTAGGTCAAGAAATATAACGATTGTTGGACGCCGGTTAGTATGCCACCTGTTTTGCAGAATCTGTCGAAGAGTGAAGATATGATGAATACACCCTCTTCCTGGTCTGAAGCCTGCCTGCTTCTCTCGTGTTTGTTCCTCCCGTGGACCGCTAGTCTTAGAATTATTATTGAGCCTAGAACTGTGGATACCATATTAGTCAAGCTAATCCCCCTGTGATTATCACAGGAAGACTTGTCTCCCTTCTTATATATCGGGATAATCAATGACTTACACCAACCCGACTGGACTTCCTCTGATTCCCAGACTCTGCCCAGTACCTTATTTAACGCTGACAGTAAACTGTCTCCACCGTACTTAAATACGTCTGGAGTCGTTCCGTCAAGTCCTGCTGCTTTGCCTCGTTTCAGACTAGTGACAGCCTTAGTAACCTCAGTTAGGGACGGTGGACCTGTGTCTAAATCTCATGCTAGAAGGTGTTGAATTTTCGATAAGTTGAGCGTAGCTTTTGGCAAGTTAAATTGCCCCTTAAAGTGTGGTTTCTAACGTTCAAGTCGCCAATCCTGGCAGCTAATTATGGTGCCACTTTCCTTAGAGATTGTTTCAATTATCGTTTGCCTTTTACCACCTGTTTCCGTGATAAGTCTAAATAGCTGTCTGGTGTTACCAATCGCCGATGCCTTTTCTATTTCCTTCGCTTTTGTCGCCTACCACTGTTCACGGTCGTTACGAAGACTTCTTGTTAGTTTGCGTTTGAGTAGCTTTCGCTTCTCATCGTAATCGGAGCTCGCTAGAATCAGTCTTTTTGCGTCAATCAGTTCGGATGAGGTGGTAGAAACCCGATGGCTCTTACTAACTTTAGGTTTCAGTTTATTAACAGCTTTTACAGCTGTGTCTGCAGCTAACTATGTTGTGCCAGGCTATCTCAGGAGGAGTACTCCTGTCGACCTCAGGTATTCGTTTCGCTATTTCCTCCTTAAATAGAGACTCAGAGTCCTGATCTAGCTGGGGGACGCAGCTGCTTCGCTGCCAACAATTTTTTATGTCCGTTTAATCGTAAGCATAAACGTGCGCGAACCAGAGCGTGTTCAGAGTCTACGCACGTGTTCCAGAAGGAGCGTCAGTCTTCTACTAACCCTCGCCAACGGTACCCGATCGCTATGTGGTCTATCTGAGTCCAGCGTTGGCTTAGTGATGGAGGTCGCCAGATTACGCAATGTCTTTTTGTGCCTACAGTTAGCGCTGACTGGAGACAGATGATGATCTGGACAGAACTGTAGTAGACGATCATAGTTGTCGGTCCACCGGCAGGGAACTCCATACATACCACCTACATACTTCTCATTCTGGCACAATTTCCCTACTTGGGCATTGAAGTCGCTTGCTAAAACAACTATGTCTGAACGTTTTGCTTTTTGCAGCAAATTACACAGTTTCAGGTAGAAATCATCATTTAGTTCATCTGAAATGCAGTCTGTTGGTTCGTAAGCGGAGACTATGAAAAGATAGCTAGGCTAACGCCGTTCTTCGTCCTTCTAACGGACCTGTTCAGATGGACCGCACACATACGACTATTGACTGGGATCCAGCCAAGAAGGGATTTTTCTGCCCTAACACTCAATCCTATTACTACATCTGCGAGTCCTCGCGAACTAGCTGAGAGGTCTCCTGACACCCTTAAAGTGGATTTTGCAGACTCAACTTGTTGGCCGTGTGAGGTTAAGTGAATGACTACACTCGGGTCTTGTAAGCCTGTCTCCTAAACAACATACATCCATGGCTCGAGATGCCAAAGTTCTTGCTAGTGATGCCTGTTGTCCGATTTGGCAGAGAGTCCTGACATTAAATGCTCCTATATGAAGTTGGCGACGTGGCTTTAAGAGGCTGTCGGAGGTGTTTCTATGGCTCTCACCGTTGTTTGTGGTCACAGAGTGAAGTGAAGATGCCTCACTAGTCAGAAGAATAGTGCTAACCGTAGTAGAGGAGTAAGATGATGAAGGTGATGTGGGTGAAAGAGAATGATTCTCAGGAAGGCTTCGTGTGCTTTCGGAAGTGTGTGGGTGGTTATTACTTCCCCGTTGCCGACACCGTGGAAGTTGATTGATTCTTCGGGTACCTGAAACAGAAAGTGTTCCGTGACCGCAGAGCGCAGGGAACAACTGCTTGAGACCGGTCACACACGGCTTGTATGAACTGATTCCTTAGATTGGTGTCGTATTGGTAAACTTACCGCCGGTTACGGACCACCGTAGGTTGAGTCGGGACGTACAATTATTGGGGTCTACCTTTTCTAACCCCCTCTCTCCACAGTGAAACAGTATTATTATTTACTGAATGACGTTTCGAACATAATTTATTGTTCATTATCATATTGATTATAACCACAAAACCTCGAGACTTCCGTTTTATAGATTTGTTATTCTTTCCCACTTGTCGTAGGGGTAGTAGAACTTTCCAGATGTCTGGGACAGGTGTTAAAACGTCGTCCAGCAAATAATACTTCCACTATGTGATATATCTAATAAACAGAACCATATGGAACTGCTAGCTGTTAATTAATAAGGTTCGGAAATGATACTTAGTTATTGCTGTATGCACTAACGCGCCAATATTTAGTCAGCATTTTTATATACTGTGTAACTGTGATCATTCAGTATACTCTGCAAAGACATTAATGTGCATTTCACTGCAAACAGTGGTAATTTCTTTACTTCATTTAGTTTCTAGGTAGACTAGTGTTTCAATTTTTTGCAGGTTATATGGTGGAGCAAACATGGTGCTGTGGCGAAAACGGTCGCATGTAGTGAGATGTTCAAAAGAAATATTTCCAAATCGGTCCCATCAGGTGAACTCAAAATGTATCAATGCAGCCGTTTGTATCTTCAATTCTGCAAATGTTCAGTCCCGGATACAACCATAAAGTGCACATTGGTAAGTTCAGCGATTTCAGGCCTAGCCATGTGGTATCACTATTCTTTTATCAAACTCCCATTAATCTCTAATGGAACAGATTTGTGTGAATTATGTGTGCCTTTGTTGGAAGCAATCGAAATGCGTTTGTCGCAAAACTTATAACTGTAGCTGCTATACTACAAAATGGCCTCGGAGAAATCTTACTTTGTCATATGCTGACTTCTGATTATATTTTGCCTAATGCAGCATGTTGTACTGGATAACTGACTGGTTTCAAATCGCACTGAGTAATAATTTCTTCCGTCTTTTAGAATACCTTCAGCTATTATCGACCGATGTCAGTTTGTATAACTATGTTTGGATGGACGAACAATACTATCGACCTCACACGACTAACAGTAAAAAGAAATATCTATCAGGGGACTTAAGTAAAAAATGCAATTGGTTAGGGTGTAGAAGTTATAGACGAAGATGCTGTAGACTTTGTAGTTATTATTATTTTTGTTCCCTTGGGTTCCTAGTGGAACATAGGGCTTCAACTACACGTCTCCACTTGCTTCTGTCTTCTGCTGTACTTTTCACCTGCATCCATGTTAGTCCATACTGTTTCAACTCCTCTTCACACGATCTCCTCCATGTCACCCTTGAACGTCCCACTCGCCGTTTCCCTTTCGGGTTCCACTCGAGGGCCTGACGCACGATGTCACCCAGCGGCCTCCTCAGTGAGTGTCCAATCCATCTCCACTTTCTCCTGCATATTTGTTGAATGATTGGTTCTTGTTTTGTTTGTTCCCATAGTTTCTTGTTGGTGATTCTTTCCTTTGTAGTTACGTTCCTGGTTATATTCATCTAACAGCCTACTTAATATGGAATCTAGTCACTGAAATTCCTGTATATTAGGAGAGTACTTTAATAGTTATGCGTCCTCGTACTTTCCCGCTTATTATAGTTTTTTACATTTTTCTCTTTTCTGTACCTTTCTGTATGTTTTATAAGATGTAACAGCTTGAACTGTTCCATTGTTTTGCAAAGTTCTGCGTTGAAAATCCGGTTCAGCTTAGTTACTTCCACTGTCTTAAAAGTTTGACTAATACCATGTCGTCCACTCGAAGTTTTTATCATATGCTTTCACTATACCGATAATATAAATAACCCTAAACGCATTTTGTATTCCTTTGATATAACCACATCCTATCTGCGACGTTTAAGAGGTGGGTGATTATGGTCTGGATGAAGTAATTAAGTAAATCCAGGTGAACTCCAACGTATTCCCTCTGGGATTTCTCTAATGATATGGTCATATGTATCTGTAGTGCCGATGTATTTAAGGTGAATGCTTCAAATCCTAAAAATAATCAGTAGGTAAAAACTGTTTATGTTAATTAATGCATCCCTTTTAACAATGAGTGATGTTCAGGTTAGACAAGGTAAGAAAGTTGAGCCACTGGAAAAAATAATTTTTTGATTAAGGGAAGTTACTCATATTTAATGGTTGATACTACTAAAGCCTCATGTTGACTGAGGTGGATGAGTGGTTTTCAAGGATTCTGACAGTTGAAAGTGGAAATTTATTGAGTCTGTACAAAACAATTCATACTCGTTCATATCCCAAGAAGCTCTGTTCACTGTTCATCCTATTATTTTAGAAAATTTAAAAAGTATGCAGCTGAATTTGATATTTTAGACTACTCTCATTGTAGGTGAATTATTGGTTAGTTGAACCAACGCGGTCTCAAGTTGATATACTTAATAAAATAGAGGTGCATTAAGTCCCTGTACTTGCTGTGATTTGGTATTGCACAGTTAAACAGATTATCCTATAGCCCCGTGCCAACTTTCATGCCAATTGTGTAATTTAACTTACGTAATACCGGCAACTGACACCATAATTATGTTTATAGTATCATCCAGAATATATTCCACTTTGTTATGTTTATTTTTATCATGTTTTAGAGTGCTGTAGTATGTATTGTGTAAAACCTTACATTTTTAGGTTAATAGGGTTTTATGTTAGTCGAATTAATAATTATTTGTTCATACTACTTTTCACTTGTGTAAAGTTTTAATCCTCAACAGTGATCGCGTGACATAAACTTACCGCCATCCCTCCATTTCTTAGCAATTAATTGATAGACTTATTCTAGTTGTAATTCATATTATGGAGCACAAGTCTTCACTGGTTGATTGTGGGCTTTTTCATGGACGATGCTATGAACCATATTTGTTGTGTGTTGCAGGCTAACCATACTACTACTACCTAGTTGCTTAAAGTGGGTTCCGAGCCTGGTGACTGCCGGTCACCGAAATTCACATGCTAAAGCTAATGACCCGCATATCCACGTCATATGAATAAGTTGATAATAATAATAATCACAACAAAACTACACAAGTGGGTACATTGTGTAGGTAGTCAATCATTATTGCTGTTTACGGAGATTGTGTATATATGTTGGGGTTGGTTGTGAACAAATATTTCTGACGACAGTTAGACAATAAAAAGCGTGAATTCTCAATAAATTGTTACACTAAGGCGAAATTCTGCCACCAAAACTAAATGTAGTGATAACAATGTCTACACCCAGTGTGACGGCTAAAATTGTGATTGTATCCGGGTAGATAAAAATCATGGTAAAGAAAGAAGCTGAACAAACGTATCTTATACACGTGAATACGATAAAAAGATTCTGATAACTTCACCCTGTGCTCAATGGTCACGGTGGCACTGCGTACAGAATGGCAGAGCTGGACTTGTTAATGCTATTCTTCGAAACAGCTAGGTGATCCACCATTGGGTTTTTGGCGGCCTCTACCTGGAAAATCTTTGATAAGATTACAATAGGTTTATCGGATCGTTCCACCAATTCAGTAGCCTTCATAAGAGTTCGGGATTTTATAATATCGTAAATCACCTAAGGAAACTAGAAATTACAGTTGAGAAATCTTTTCAATGAAACCATTAACCTGTTGCATTATCTGTTTCATACATAAAGGACATTTGTTGTGGAGAAGTTGCCGATCCATTGGCGAAACGTAATAACAAAGCACGCTCTACCACAGTGCCCAAGTTTTATCCTTATTTGAAGCAAACTTGAACCTGGGGAGATATTGACTAAATTGATTAGTAAGTGCGGTTTATAAAAACACGCTGTATACAGCATTTCGAATTCAGAAACGCAGTAGTCCTCTATTTTATTTATAATTTTTATTTTATTCCTTTGCGTTCGCAGTGGAACATAGGGCTTCAAGCTACAGCTTCGAAGTTTCGGTAGCAGTGGTGTTTATTTTTATGGGGGGAGGTTGCTAGTCTCACGCCCGATCTTCCCTCTTTGCTGGGCTCATTATCAGCTAAGCGAGGTTAGGGGGGATCGAACCCTGGACCACGTGAGTGGTTGGTGAGCATTTTACCTCTGCGCCACCGACGCACATGAGTAGTCCGCAATATTATTTTATACTTATTTTTATTTTTGTCTCAGAATGAACTCATTCCCATTGCTATTTTCGTGTGAGGTGAGGGTGGATATCCTTGACTAATTTTGATTATATTTAATTCTTTAGGAGGAACCGGCTATTGCAATTTTGTTTTCTAAACACCCACTCTCATGTGAAGATACTCAACTGCCTGTTGATTTCGGTGGAAGTAGTTTTGCAAACTTTGTGGACAAAGGAAGAACGTCTGAAGTGAATTTAGCTAATCCACCCAGCCGCTGTCGCCTGTCTCGTACTATACGGAAGAAACGTGATGTTTTTCGTGGACCTGGTACATCTCAACCGAAACCTACCGTGAATGATTCTGCAGAAAATACAGATTTTTCAAATTTCCCCTACCAAACACCTCGCCTTGCCCCAGCACTTTCAAATGTGAACAAAGTATTAAAATCTAAAAAACTTCAAAGAAAACGTAAAAGACAAATGGAATCTCAATGATTTATTATCCAATGATTGTTTTGTTGCTGATTTATCCTGAGTATATTTATGGTTGTTATGTGAGCTACTTTTGTACATAAAGTTTAGAGAAGATAGAGGTATACCTTACATTGTATTCATTAATTGGATATAATGAATAATAGAATACATTGGGAAACAAACCCTAAGATTATTTTTTTTAACAGCGATACTGTGCAACAACTGCTGCTTTGTAAAATTTATCCCTACAACTTGATAGAATATTAGTATAAATCACATACTGTATAACCAATCACCTGAAGAAACTGTTTTACACGGATACGGGTTAAAGTTCGTTTTTGAAACTAGACATTCACTACTTGACTTTTGCCCTCCTGTATCACCCAAATAGACTGAACATTTGTCCTCTGCTTTGCATTTTTCTATGCTGACTTGTTTCACTTCAGATTTCTCTTTTACTGGAGATTCTTTTTCTAAGATGTCGTCATTTTGTAGTAATATTTTCTGATCCATTGAATGTATTGTTTGCGGATAGATAAAGTTTGTTTCTCGATCTTCTTCCATTACTGCTATTCGCTTTCTCAGCAAATTAACCTTTTATATTGAAAGAAAACAGGACAAAGCTTGAATAATTTATTAGTTTTTCTTAACAAGAGTTCTTTAAGCTATATTATCTGCAGTTGTTACACAATGAATCTTGTTCTTTGGTGTCACAATTAGTTATCTTAATAGAATACCACTGAATGTATGAATAATTCGCTTGGACTTTAAGTAGTATAGACTATTCATCAAAGACTACGTCTACTTTTGCATCTCAGGTAAATTCCTTCTAAAGGGATAATTTTTTTCATTAAATGGTTTCCAACTCAAATATGATTAGCATAGTGCTCGGGGACAGTGTCTTGCTACACTAAAAAGTCGAAAAGGATTAGTCTTCTGAAGATCTTCGAAACCAGTGCAAGAACATTTGGTATGCATGCATTTTACATTGCTGTAAAACCTCGCTGACAGTCCAACGGACAAAATGAAGTGATCATACGCTTCATCCTCCTTACTAAGTAATTGGGAATAAGCATCAACAACAGATCTATAAGATTTACATAACAGTGCTTATCAGTGTATCAAAGACTGAATATACTCCATAGCAGTCGTTTCCTTCCAATTTTATGGTTGAAACATCAACTTTAGAGACAGGTTGAGTATATCTGGATGCCTGCAAAAGTTAGCCAGACCAAAACATGGCATATTTGCTTTTTTTTATTTTAGACTGAGTTGTTTGATATGACTGATTGTAGTCCCTGTATTAGATTACTCAGTTGATGTGACGCTTGCTGATTAAATACTATTTACGAGATGAATTTGTATTGCTTTTTACCATCTTACTTTTTCAAATTAGTAATCTATTTATTCCATTAGATGTCTCGTGCCCATATCAGCGTCATTTACACAAATGTCCTAGTAATAATGAAAGAATAACACTCCTCGTACATGTATTTCTTAATCCACGTCAAGACACAGCACTTCTAAAACACTTTTTCGATTTATGGAAGCATAGCTTATGATAAACTTTCCGTGATTTCAGTTTAGGAATCTATGCTTTTGTTGCCTACATCTAACGTGATCTAGTGACCTGTGTATAACTGTATTTTCACTTTGGTGGGGTCACTTTTAATTAACACTGTTCATTTTAGTAAATAATTCATAACACGATCCCTGGAGTTCAAATAAACAGAATACTTTCAGTGAGACCCTAGTTACATATGGAATTTCCAATTAGTCTACTTGACTTTCAAGTTGTATTATCTGAGCTGGATGGCTTTATTCTTAAGCTATTATTGTCCTTCTGGACAGCATCTTCAGGGTTAACTTCACATCGTGTAAACCAGTGTAGTCATATTTCTAGACTGATAGTAAAATACGCGTCAAAGAATAAAGAAATATAGTGTTATGGGTACGGAAAATTTAATGTCGTTTAATCGGATGCCAATGCCATACAAAACAGAAGAATTACTTGTGTTAAGCTTCACGTAGTAGTCTCCGAAAAATATTCTTATGCATCAGCGAATCTTTAACTTAAGCGAAGGCGCATTGGTAATTTATAAGAATTATCATTTTGAGTAACTCCTAATTATTGCTTGGCCAACTTCAATTCTATGGTTCTTGTGTTCGAACTCTTCCTAGCCTAATTCAGCATGGACAACTAGGTGATATCATAAGTTTCCCATCACTGAATGCGATTTGTAGCCTAGTGCAGGATTACAGTGTTATTATTATTGAGTGTAATTCCACCTACCCTTTCAGTAACTAGCCGAAATCGCTTAGAGAGTTACTGAAAGTCAAAATCCACTTTACAGTCGTTTCTCTATATTGTGCGAAGTAGAATCTTTACTCAAGCTGAACTATTTCGAACTCAATCCCTCGCTGGGTTGTTATAGCACGCAAATAAACAGATTACGATGGGTTGGGAATATGACAGTGGGCGAAAGCTGCTTAGATGTAAAGTGACCGAAAGTCTCCATAAGGACCATGTACAGTATTATTATTATTCCCTTGGGTTCTGAGTGGGCTTCAACAACATACCTCCACTTTGTTCTGTTTTCTGCTCTCTTCTTTAATTGGCCCCAAGATTGCCCAAAACCCTCGGACACCCAACTCGTCGCTTCCCTTTAGGGTTCCACTTCACGGCCTGGTGCGCGATATCTTTCGACGGCCTCCTCAGCCTTTGTCCGATCCATCTACATTTTCTTTAGGATATTCGTTGACCATCAGCTTCTTGATTGGTTAGTTCTAGGAGTTTCTTGCTGCTAATTCCTTCTGACCGACTATCTGATTTTCAGTATGGGGCCAGTGAAGGCAGTTGTTGATAGAAGTCTACAGCAGGCTGTTCAATATGCTTTTCGTGACAGGTGCCCCAATTTTCTAACCAATATAAAAGAACTGACTTCTCATTTCTGTTGAAAATCTGGATCTTGTTCTTTATGCTCAGTGCAAAGGATTTCCAAACTGATTTCAGGTTGATAAAGGTGTATCTTGCCTTCCCGATTCTGGCTGCCTTTGACATTTTCATCTGTTGGACATGCCTTTAATTGAAACGATGCTTCCTAGATAAGCGAAGGAAGTAATCTCTGTCAAATCTCTCCCGTTGATCGTCATTCGTGCCGGTTGTTGTTGTTGCTGTCACTTGGTTATCTTCATCATCTCCGTCTTCTCTGTGTTCACATACAGTCCTGTCTTCACTCCTAGACTCCTTAGCCAGTTTGTTGGTTTTCGCCTGCAAGTCTTCGAGTTTCTGTGAAATTAGACATATATCATCTGAGAAATCGAGATCTTCTAGAGTCCTCGCATCGGTTCACCGTATTCCTGTCTTCTCACTCGCCACGTACAGTCTAACGTACAATCCAGTCCATCACCACCAAGAATATCATCGTGGGTGATAAGAGGCAGCCTTGTCTTACTCCTTCCTGTATGCACTTCGAACGGCTCACTGAGCCTTCCGTTGTGGATCACCTGACACGTGCCACTGTCATATAGCCAGCTATTGAATGAGGTTGATGAAGATTTGGACACTCCACACCATAGTGTGGAAGTAGTTTCCAAATCACTTCTCAGTCGACGCTGTCTGTACGAGGCCTTTACGAAGTCGATGAAGTTAAGGTACAGGTTTGACTGCCGTTCAATGCTTTGTCCCTTGATGAAGATGCGTAGGGTTGTAGTCTGATCAGCACATGATTTGCCTTTTCTGAATCCACCCAGCTTGTTCCGTTGAGGGGCGGAGTTCTGTATCCAGTGCATTCTTTATTCCTTCCAGGATGATGTGACTTAGTATTTCACTTGGCGTGGACAAGAGCATTAATCCGCGTCAGTTCTTGAAGAGTGAGGCGTAAGTTGCTCTTCTTTGGTAGTTTGACAAGATCGCCAGCTTTTCTTCCAATCAGTAGGCACCTTTCCTTACAAACCTTTTGCAATAATGGTGTCAGCGTTTCTGCCACAGTCTCTGTGTCTGTTTTAACTGTTTCGAGGGAATTCCATCCGAACTTCAGTAGCTTGATCGTATTCAAGATTTCTCGCTTCGTTGGAAGATTGGTGCCCACTGGCACTTCCGTGTGTGCTGCTGGCAGTATTTGTGAATCAATCACAGATGGTGGTCGATTCAAGAGTCCTTTAAAGTGATCAGTGCATTGTTTGATTTGTTTCTCCTCCTCAGTAATCAGGTTCCTTTGGGCATCTCTTATTGGTTCCATCATCTGTGTTGATCTCTTCCCTGATAGACACCTGGTTACCTCATATCATATCCTGAGGTCTCTTTTACCTGTGACCTGTCTGTTCTGATCCAGTTGCCAGCCAGTGTGTCGTAGAATTGTCTTTTGTCTTTCCCTGTGCTCTTCTCCACTTCTTTATTCTGTGCTGTGTACATTGAACTCAGCTTCTCCTTCTGTTTGTCCGTCTTTGCATTGAGTCATCTTCTCTTGCACCAACCTCCCCTCCCCTCTTCTATTAGCTTCCAAGTAGGTGTCCGTTGACAGCCATTCCTTGTCTTGTCTCTTTCTTCTTCCTAGAACAGTTGTACACGTTCCCTTAAACATCGCTTTCAGAGAGTTCCAGTGTTCTTCCACACACACACACATACACAGGTTCCCTCAGTAATGCCACGTAGTGTCACCAACTTTGTTCTGATCAGATCTGTAGTGAAGGTATCTCTTGTAGTTCTGTCCTTCAGTTTCTGAGTGTTGAACTTGATTTGTGGTCTGTCTCGATTTGTTCTGAAGGCTTTCAGTTTCACCTTCAAGGTCCTGCTAACTGGATGATGCTCTGAGCCCACATCTGCTCCCCTCCTCTACTCCGTGTCCAGTAGACTTGGTACGTATCCACTTCCGTGAACAGTGAAGCAACATTGAGATGAAGTCGATCTGATGTGTAGTGTGTCCGTCAGGCGAAATCTATGTTGCTGTTCTTCTGTATATCCTTGTGCTTGTACATGTTGCCTCCGATTACCAAATCATTGAAGACGCAGAAATCTGTGAAGAGTTCTCCGTTACCACGATGAGTTCTCTTCCTGTATTATTGGCTCCCAGTTCAGCTGGCATTCATGTCGTCCATCAGGATTTTGATGTCGCCATTTGGGATGTTTTCCATTACTGTTTGTAGTTGTCTGTAAAAATCTTCCTTCTTTTCTTGTTCCGCGTTGTTTGAAGCTGTGTGTGTAGCATTGAGTGACTGTAACCTTCCTTCCTTCCTTTTGAATTGGATCTTGCTGTCGTGATCCTGGATGAAATCGGTCCCCAATGCATTAGGTCTCTGGTGACATCATTATAGCCACTCTCTCAGTGTTTTCGTAGTTGTCGTCAGGATGACCGGAGCAGATTGCTGACTCTCTAGTTAACAGTTTTACCAAACCACATCCATTCCATCTGCTCTTAATGATTCCCAGAACTTCTATACCATATCTTCTCATTTCTTTGACTGACTTCCCGAAGGACTTCGCTAGCCCGTGTCATTTCGCCTTTCTTCGATTCCTTCGAAGAATAAGTATGTTTAATATTTTTTCTGTGTTTTTAACTTTTCTTGTGCGTTGAAGTTTCCATAGCAGATTGATTAGTTTTGTGGGTTAAGGTGGCTAGACACACCCCTGA